AAGTGAAATAAGATTACTTGAATTGTAAGGAAGATTCCACAATTTTAAACACATGAAGTGAAACAAGATTCCAAACATCTGTCATTTTTTTTAAGATATTGGTCATTTTAATCTTCAATTTTTGGTTATTTTTTCAATCATCACTCTATACGACTAATTACATATATATGGGTTTTCTTTTCAGAACCCATGAAATTGTAATAATCTTGAGAATTAATGCATTATGTGATAACCGGGTTTATCGGTTATAAAGTTCGAGGTTATTTTCGAACAAGGGCGATAAGTTGAGGGGTTTGATGTATTAATGTGCCTAAATTGTTTTTAAACTCCACGCCTCTTATTATTGCCATTAGTACTATGAGATAATTCTTTTATCTCATTGGGATGGTAAGTGAGTTGGAGTAAGAAAAACCTTCGGTGTAAATTATATGGTGAGATATATTTTTACAACTTTCATCTTATTATATTGAAATTGGAACCAGGGTTCTTTACATGGGGATGATGTAAAACTGATTTTGATGCTATGATTAACATAATTGTGGTATTTTGATATGTTTTTATCAAGGGAATGGAATAAGAGTGACATATCAATGAGAGGTGTATTTTGGTTATAAGGGTGACATATCAAGGAGATGTGTATTTTGGTTATAAGGGTGACATATGAAGGAGAGATGTATATCAGGATAAGGGTGACATAATTAATAAAATGTAAAATCTGAGTTTTTTTTATCAAGTTGATGCATTGTTATAACATCCTTATGATGCGATAACTTTGAATTGTTGCATATGTGTGATGAGATAACTTGGGTTATCGCGTCACAAGAGTTGTATTTGTCGCATCCTTGTGATGCAACAAGTTGACTTTATCGTACCAGTGTGATGTGACAAGTGGGGTTTATCGCATCAAGTGTAATGCGATGAGATGAGGTTCTTGCACTAGCGTGTTGCAAGAAAATGGGGTTGTCTCACACATGTTATGCAAGGAATTTATGTTTTTACCTATATGATGTGATAAGTTTATGCATTATGCAATAAAAGAGTTGTTTGGTTATTTGATGCAATAAATGGATTATGTATCATCATTTTGATGCGACAACAGAAGTTTGTTTTATTATAATGTTGTTTATTGGTTATTGATACAAATACGAGTTTATAAAAGTGTTTTGATGACTATCACCCTGTAATAGCAAACAAAAGGATTTCTCACTAAACTCAAGGTCTAACCTTCATTGTAGTGTTTTGAAAACGTGCATTACAGGTCGGGTAAAACCAGATGATAAGGAGAAGAGGAAATTGTGAAGAGTTTATATTTGCTTGCATAGGCTAATGGAATGATGTGTTATCTTTAGTATTTGAATACGTGTTATGAATACAATTTTTGTATACAGATTTTGTGAAAAAATTTGGTGGCTACTTTGTGATGTAGTTTTTGTAGATATTGGGACCAAATATATAAATTATATTTCTTGTTACATGAAAATATATGTTTATATGTAAATGTGATCTTGGGGTGTTACACATCATGATTCATGTGTTATTTCATATGATATATTTTCATCTAAGACTAAGATTTAAAATATTGATTAACATATATTTGTTTCACAATGCATTAGTTTTACATTGTGAACTTTTTAGCATGTTCGTAAAACAAAAAAAAAAATTTGTTTCGCATTGTGAAACAAATATACAACCATGTGAAACAATACCTTAAGATAAAAATTCTCACAGTTATCATAATATATGTTGTTTTTAAACAATTAAGCTCTTATATATATATATATATATATATATATATATATATATATAAAGCTAATTTCTTTTGTAATAACATAAAAGTAAAACAAATAACAATAATTCTCCATATTAATATCGTTTTTGGTGTATTTATGAGATCTTTCTAATAATACGATTTGTCAAAAATAATAAATTATAATTGGTCTATATGTACGATAATTAAATTTCCTTTTGAAAAACATTAAGGTTAAAAAAATAGAAGTTAGGTAGTGTTTGATATGCAGACTGAATGAGATAGAACATGACGAGGCCGGACAAGACAAGACTAATTGTCTGTTCAATATTTGATACGACTAGGACATGACAAAACTGTTAAAATGACCATATTACCCCCTAAATGTTGTTCAATGTTATTTTATATCATATAATGATTGTAAATAACAACAAATCAACCAAAAATATATTTAAATTATTTAATCTATGATATCAATATTTTTTTAACATTCCAAGACCACATGTAAATAACATTTGTCATATCACAAATCCTAATAACGCACATAATTTAAAAAGTTTAAACACAACAACTGTAAATAACATTTGTCAAAACATCGTCAAAAATTGAACATTTCAAGAATGGAGGCTGGAATCGAGAATGAAGACTGTGGAAGAGAATAAAAGGATGCAATTAAATTAGGTTTGTATTTTGATATCAAATAATAAGGGCAATATTGTAATCTTAAATTTAGTCCCATGTTATTCTAACTTTTTGGATGGAACAAAAAACCTCAAGAACAGTCTCACCCAATCTTATTTTTGTTCCATGTTGTCCCATCTCATTTTTGTCCCATGACACACCAAATATGAGACTATTTATTTTTATTCCGTTTCGTCTCATCCAGTCTACGTACCAAACACACCCAAGAAAATGGTGTAAATGAAAATAACAATAGCCCAATTTTTGCAATGTAATCTCAAACAACCCAATTTTTGCAAATGGGTGTCAAAGAGTCCTTTTGCAATCATAAAGCAATTTTTTTTTTACAAATTACTCTGAAGTCTGAACGGTCACCAACCATTAATCCCCTTCAATATCTTGAACAAATCGAGGTTACAATGAAAAAAACCCTAAAACGATGATTTGTAAACACCGCGTTCGTCCTTGCAAAGAAAACCCATAAAACCAACAGTCGAGTGGGTTCGAATATGGATTTTGAATCTAGGTTTCAAACGGGTTAGAATCGGGTTTCAATTCGAACCGATTTAAAAACGAGAGTTAAGGGGCCATTTATCTAAACACTTACCCGGTAAGCACTTATCGGTAAAATTYAACACYATCGCTTACTTATCGGATAAGATTTTATTCACTAAAACGCATCGTATGCAATAATTTATCCCTGTAAGCGCTAACCATGGTAAGAGTCGTCATCCTCACTTACCGGGTAAGACTCTCGATTCTTGTCTTCGCTAGCACTTACCGGGTAAGATTCTTAGTCCTTGTCATATTCATCCGGTAAAGTAAAGTGACTTGGTAAGTGCTTACTCGGATAAGCGTTTGGTAAACGGCATCTTAAAGAAGTCTTGATTCAACGAACTCGAAAGAGCCATGATTTAACAAAAAACTACTTAACAAAAGGGTCAATTATTACTCTTCTATGAAAGCAATCTTTTTAGGCCATGTTTATGTTGTTTCAAAATTTGAATTATGATTTTTTAAGAAAATATTTTACAAAGCGAAATCTTTTGACCAAAAAGGTATGTACATGTTTATCACCTTTAAAATTTACAAAAAGAATTGTAAAAAATATGTTCAGGTTATTTATACACAAATAATGGGGACCATTTTGAAAAAGAAAATAAATCTTTTTAAACATAAAAAACTAATTTATTAATCAATAGAGTAATGCCATGTGGAAAATAGAAAAACAAATTATGTTTGATAAATTAACTGATAAATTTAGTTATTGGCTAAGTTAATAAACACAATTAAGTTTGATCAAATATCTGATAAGCTTGATGATGATGTAAAATGATTAAAGTCATATTCAAAAGTTGATTGGAAAAATATATGTTAGCTTATACGGGTTGACAAACATGACTTGAATGAGCGTTTACCAGGTAAGTGAAGGCGACGACTCTTACCATGGTAAGCGTTTACTGGGTAAATTGTTGCATAGGATGTTGTTTTGGTGGACTAAAATCTTACCCAGTACGTAAATAATAATGTTAAATTTTACCGATAAACATTTACCGCGTAAGTGTTTAGGGGCTGTTTACCAAACGCTTACCTGGATAAGCGCTTACCAGGCCACATTACCTTACCTGATGAATATGATAAGGACCAATAATCTTACCTGGTAAAAACGAGACAAGAACCAAAAGTCTTACCCTGTAAGTAAAGGCGATGACTCTTACCATGGTAAACACTTACCGGGTAATTGTTGCACACAATGTCGTTTTGGTGAACTAAAATCTTATCCGGTGAGTAAATGATAGTGTTAAATTTTACAGGTAAGCACTTACCGGGTAAGTGTTTGGTTAAAGACCCCTAAGTGTGATTGGTTTGCATGATTTGAATGGAATTCAATTCTATTATTTATAGAAACAAATTATAAATTTATTAATTAATATTATAAAACAAATTTTTTAAAAATATTTTAAAACATTAATGCATATAAATCCTACAAAATCCCGTAAAATTCCAACCATTCCTCGTGGAAGATTTCATTTCAAATCAACAAAACTTTTGAAATCAAGCATGAAATTTAAATTGAATTGAATTCTAAATCCTTCCAAACCTAATTCAGTTATATGCTGATTAAACACTTATCCAGTAAGTCTTTACCGGGTAATTTTTTTTACCGGATGAACATGGTAAGGGTTTAGAATCTTACCCGCTTAAAGTGGTAAAATGATGAAGAGTCTTACCAAGTAAATGAGAGTGAGAATGACGACTCTTACTCGGGTAAGTGCTTACCGGATAAATTGTTGCATATTATATCGTTTTGATCACTATAATCTTACCCAGAAAAATAAATTATAGTATTAACTCCTATCAATAAGTAGTTACTGGGTAAGCATTTGAGTAAACGGACCGATGAGCTATTTGAATTTTCATCGTCCAAAGTGATAAAGAAAAGATGCTTTTACAACATGTACATCAAGCATTAAAATTAGTAACATGACATCACCAATTTCAGGTCATGAAAAGTGTCCACCCCCCAATATATATATGACACCTTGTGCTTCACAACACTTGTATAACCTCAATGGCTTCTAGTAGGATCACACCCATATGTTTACTTGTATACTTGTGTTTTGTTGGGATGTTTGTCAACTCAGTTTTGGGTGCCAAGGCTAGACACTTCAAATGGGAAGTCGAGTACATGTTGGGTGCACCCGATTGCTTAGAGCACGTGGTGCTGGGCATCAACGGTCAGTTTCCCGGCCCAACCATTAAAGCTCGGGCGGGTGACACCGTTGTTGTCCATCTTACCAACAAGCTCCACACCGAGGGAGTCGTTATTCACTGGCATGGTATTCGACAGGTGAAAATTGAACCTGTTAATTCGTGTGCGTTTTTCCTCCTACTCATTGTTCGGTTTTTAATTGTTAAATTTGTTTCAAAAAATAGCTGGGAACACCATGGGCTGATGGAACTGCATCCATATCACAATGTGCCATAAACCCTGGAGAAACATTTATCTACAGGTTCAAGGTCGACAAGGTGTGTATATATGTATGATTACGTGTTTATTACACACACACTTATGTTTTTATGCTACTTTTTCGTTTATCTTCTTGTATATTTGTTCTGTAAGTCGACAATATTCATGGAAACAGTCTCTTTACCTTTTGGTAGAGGTAAAGTCTGGGTATATCATATCCCAATATCTACCTTGTTTGAGATATATTGAGTATGTATATATATATATATGTATATATATATATATATATATGAGGTTGGGTTCCGGTGAGGATGGAAGTTATGGTGAGAAGCATAAGAGGAGATCTTCACCCTTTGGTCAGTCCTAATTGAATATCAACACTAATGAGGTACAACAAGAGGCACCGGATCAATTCTCTCTTAAAATACAATTCATGGATGTGCATGAGATTAAAAGTGATTAAGAATTCAGATCTCTTCTTACGCTTCTCATTCGTAACTTTTCTTTTAACACGATGATTTGTGTGTATGTGGGGTTTAATAAAATAATCCAAAGTTTGCATGAGGGTAATATATAATGCAAGGAATGAAAGGAGTATATGTGATTATGATAATGAAAAATGATGAGGTGCAGGCGGGAACATACTTTTACCATGGACACTATGGGATGCAAAGATCAGCTGGGTTGTATGGTTTACTGATCGTAGATATGGAGGAGGGGAAGAAAGAGGCATTCGAGTATGATGGGGAGTTCAGCCTGTTGCTAAGTGACTGGTGGCACAAAGGTGCTCATGATCAAGAGGTTGATCTCTCCGCCAATCCTATGCGTTGGATCGGTGAACCCCAGGTCTTAATCATGCACCTTCAACTATCTTTATCTTAATCTTCACTTTTATATCCACTTCCACTCAGATTCACAAACTTTTACATATTTTTAATCATTTTCAAATGTATAAATTTGTTAAGCTTTCAGTCATGATAATAAAAATAAGGCAATGAAAATAATAGATGAAGGTTTTCCCACGTTATCACCACTACATATACACACACACACATAGAGATACGTAAAGAAAGGGGGAAGTTCCATTAGGACCCAAAATTGGTTACTAACCCGAGAAGCCGTCCACATTGTATCACATGTTCCTCTTCATGATGAATATTCATCATGACTCATGAGTAACACATAATATGAATATGTTATTTATCATGAATATTGATGAATATGTTACAACATCCATGGTGAATAAGACGTCCATCGTAATGCGTTCATGATATGAACAGTCTTGAGATTCTAATCAATTTTTGGTTCCAACAGATCTGTCTATATGTGTGTGTTATATATATAAATATATATATATATATATGTATATATGAATCAAATAAAAAAACTTCTATACCCTACATATATAATAAATACATGAAAACTCAAGTCCAAGGTTGCATGCTTGTTGGATTCTTTTTTCATGCAGCTTTTTGTTTACGCAAAGCAAAAAGGAAAAAAGTAGAAGCATGTGGGAATGGTGAAATAAACAATCTAAACAAAGCTGGGGTAGGTTTGGCATATATATATATATATATATATATATGTATGGCCTGGGTAGTCATTGTGTGTGTGTATGTATATATATATAATATATATATATATATATTATGCAATGTATGGATGCTTATTTAACTTTTACATAATATATATTTTATTTGTCTTCTTTTTAGAGTCTGTTGATAAATGGAAGAGGGCAATACAACTGTTCATTAGCAGCGGCGCATGTTAGCAAAGGCAATGGATGCAGGTTTAGGGGAAACGAAGAGTGCGCACCAAACATCCTACATGTAAAGCCAAACAAGACATACAGGCTGAGAGTGGCCAGCACTACTGCCTTAGCTTCACTCAATCTTGCCATTGGGGTTAGTCGATCTTTACATACATATACATATACATATACATATACATATACATATACATATACATATACATATACATATATATATATATATACTCTTTTATTATTTTAACTTTTTATTGCTTGTGTTTTTACACTATGTATGGATGTTAGCTGTTAATTGGAATGGTTTCTGTATAATTTATAACCAAAAGCATCAATCTTTATGACCAAATAAAGTAAACTTCATGAGATAAGTGGGCATATTTTTTTTATTGCCATTGGAGTCTCTATGATTAGCCCACAACCTTGACAAATACTCGATGCATATATTCTACTTTAATAGTGGAGCACAAATGTGTCCTTTTTGTTATGAATTGGTTGTTTGATGTGTATAACACACACCTTATCGCTGATGTAGACTAATCGGATACAGTTCTTATGTATTTTACAGAACCATAAGATGGTGATGGTGGAAGCTGATGGCAACTACCTTGAGCCATTTTCGGTCAACGACTTTGACATATACTCGGGTGAAACCTACTCGGTTTTGTTTCGTACGGATCAACGTCCTACCGATAACTATTGGATTTCGGTGGGTGTGAGAGGAAGAGAACCAAGAACCCCTCAAGGCCTAGCCATATTACACTATCAATCCACTACTGCCTCAAAACTTCCCACACTTCCTCCTCCTCAAACCCCTCGATGGAACGACTACGCCTATAGCAAATCGTTCTCGAACAAAATTCGTGCCCTTTCAGGGTCACCAAAGCCTCCATTCAACCACGATCGTCGGATCTTCCTCCTCAATACCCAAAATCGCATCGATGGTTATACCAAATGGGCCATCAATAATGTGTCATTGAGCCTACCCCCAACCCCTTACCTAGGCTCAATCAAACATCGTTTGACTAATGCCTTTGACCAAAAAAGTCCACCTGACACCTTTCTTAACACGTATGACATAATGAGGCCCCCACCAAATCCTAACTCCACCTATGGGAGTGGGGTTTATATGCTAAAATTCAATAATACAATTGACGTGATCCTACAGAATGCCAATGCATTGAATGCAAACGTGAGCGAGATACACCCGTGGCATCTTCACGGGCACGATTTTTGGGTGTTGGGGCATGGGGAAGGCATGTTTTCCAAGAGAGACGAAAAGAAACTGAACTTGAAAAACCCGCCACTGAGGAATACAGTAGTGATATTTCCCTACGGATGGACGGCGTTAAGATTTGTCACCGATAATCCAGGTGTATGGGCGTTTCATTGTCACATAGAGCCTCATTTGCATATGGGCATGGGTGTGGTTTTCGCCGAAGGGGTTCATCTTGTTGGGAAGATACCCAATGAGGCTCTTTCTTGTGGATTGACGGGCAAGATGCTAATGGGTAAACAACACAACTAAAGGGGTAAATTGTAGAGTATTTCCAAGTAATTGTGATATATGTCAAGTCCCTAAACTTTGAAGGGTTGTTTTGTTTCTAGCAACTTTTTGTGGGTGTCTTTGGGAATTATGAAAGAAGAGTGAGTTTTGTAAGAGGTTGAGGGATTATTCATTTGTAATAACTTATGGGTGTCTGAGTCTGTTGATGTGCAATTCGATTAATTTCATGGAAGTCTAAAGTTAACAATTGAACGAATCTTTAGTGGTCATGAGAAAGCTTGGTTCGACGAATGGAGAGCAAACATAAATTCTGACTAATTGAGCTACCAATATATAGGCTAAGTTGAGGGATTGTTCATGTGGCTAAGTAGCCAGTTTATATTAAAAGACAACATATATTTTATGTTGACAAACATTTAAATTGGGCTAACAAAGTCCACAACAATTGTATGCATCAAACATTAAACTTTTTCTATATACAGCCTTTTCGTATATCATGTACGTCATTACTCCATTCCTCTTTGTTCAATTGTCTTGAGGGTAAAAATCTAATAACCCAACGAGTTGCGTTATGTTCATGTTCTCGTTGAAATCTATAAGTTGTACAAATGATGCTAGATTTCATCGATGTAGGCTTCTTTCCATTAACCTAACAATGAACAATATGGAATTTGACCTTTAGATCCATCTTTTTACTACTCAAAAATCGGTTTTTAGACTTTTAGTCCTTGCTCATTTTACATGAAAATGATGTTTTTAATAGATAGAAAACTCTGATAAAATAACCATAAGCATGTCAGTATCAACTAATCTTACCTGATTATTATTATTACTACTACTTATTAGAATAAGGACAAGATCAAATGTTAACCAAAATTTTTATGTTAACTTTGCAAACAATGTCAACCAATCACAATTCATTCTTCTATTAGGTTTCTATTATGTTCACAATTTAATGCCAATGGTAATTGAGTAATTTCATTTGCTATGTAACTCCCATATCATTAAAGGGAAGGGGAGTTATATAATCATAAAATATCTAAAAATATACATTTATTATATTGATATTTTTATTTATTTTTTAATCTTGATCTTTATTTTTATTGTTTTATGAGTTTTTTATTCGTAGAGGAAACACGGTAGTAAAATTTTCGGTATCGTTCAAGCTATTATGGATAAATGCATTGGAAAAAAAATCGACAACATTGAGAAGATTAAAATGGTTTATGGTGACAATCGGAGTTCGAGTTCGGGAAGTGAAGAAATTAACCAAAGTGAATGTCTTGGTAATGGATTAATATTTTATTAGACTCGTTTTAATCGAAATTATGTTCATTATGAATTTATGATGTGTTGTGTTTTTTGTAGTTCATATTGCGTTGATAACTTTTTTCTTTAATTATTAATACGTACCTAATTCACATGTTCAAATGGAAGTACATGCACGACCCATTTTCATATTGTTATATTACCGATTTTTATGAATCATGAACAATTGTGTTCATGTCACTACAAAAATGC